AAAGTATATTTAACAATATGTTTTGAGAGGCTAGGAACTGAATGTTTGGAGGAAGATTTAAATTAGAGGTGAGAGAGAAAGGATGGAGAGGCAGTTCACAAACTTGGGCCAGCTCCTAGTCTTTCAATTATTCTTAACAAATCAGAGACATTACAATCTGTGCTGAGCTAAATTCTAAAAGAGAAGTAGTAACAGCTATTGCTACTCTTAACAGATTTTGTTTTGCTTTGCTTGCTGCATGTTTGTTGCAATGAGACCTATTATTACAAACCATTGATTTCACCGGGTGGTAGAAGCTTGCTGTAGAATACTTAATTTTCTTTTTACAGTCTTCTTGTCATTAAGTAAATACAAAACACTATTGATTTACAGTAAAACTATCTATGTATTCAAACATCTGAGGCTGATCAATACGAATCACTGACATGAATATACAAGATACAGATTTTTTTCCCCATACTCAAAAGGGTTTGGCATTGTGTGGATGTCTTTGTGCATCTGAGTTAAGATAGAGCAAAGAATACTTTGTTAGAGGTAGGGCAGCTGGCATCTGTAGATTTGATGGCCTTGACCATCCATTTTCATTCTGAGATATAAAGGTTTTTTTTAAAGGATGGCAGGCAACCCCATTGTCATACAAGTCTTATATAGCTTTGAATGAGATGTTTTAATTTCAGCATCTCTTACAATTGAGTCTCATTCTGTTCTATTTCTATACATGTAAATGCAGATCCTGAAATGTCAATTGAATTTGGATTTTATCAGATCAAAATTATTGTTGAGAGTTTTCCAGTTGAGTCTTTATATGTGTTGGGGGTTGGAATACTATGACAAGCTTTAAGGGCACTAACAAATGAACCATGAGAAATCTGGAATCAGGGTCCTTTTGGATTTTCCGAAAAGTCTAAATGTAACAGCTGGTTGACCCAAATGAAGATAGGGGTTCTGTTGGAGGGAATATAACAATTACACAAATTCTCCTATGTGAATATGAATTGTGAGCTCAGCAGCTGTTAGACAAGATAAATATGTGTCTCCTTCAGTTGTTGTTGTTCATTCATTCAGTCATTTCCGACTCTTCGTGACTTCATGGACCAGCCCACGCCAGAGCTCCCTGTTGGTCGTTACTCCTTCAAGGTCAAGCCAGTCCCTTCAAGGATGCCATCCATCCATCTTGTCCTTGGTCGGCCCCTCTTCCTTTTCCTTCCTTTTTCCCCAGCATAATTGTCTTCTCTAAGCTTTCCTTTCTTCTCATGATATGGTCAAAGTACTTCATCTTTGCCTCTACTATCCTTCCCTCCAATGAGCAGTCAGGCTTTATTTCCTGAAATATGGACTGGTTGGATCTTCTTGCGGTCCAAGGCACTCTCAGAACTTTCCTCCAATGCCACAGTTCAAAAGCATCTATCTTACTTCGCTCAGCCTTCCCTATTGTCCAGCTCTCACATCCATAGGTGACTATGGAGAATACCATTGCTTTTACTATGCGGATCTTCGTTGTCAGTGTGATGTCTCTACTCTTCACTATTTTATTGAGATTGGACATTGCTCTCCTCCCAAGAAGTAAGCATCTCCTGATTTACTGGCTGCAATCTGCATCTGCACTAATCTTTGCACCTAGAAATACAAAGTCTGTCACCGCCTCAACGTTTTCTCCCTCTATTTGCCAGTTATCAATCATTCTTGTTGCCATAATCTTGGTTTTTTTTATGTTTAGCTGCAACCTAGTTTTTGTGCTTTCTTCTTTCACCTTGATTAGAAGGCTCCTCAGCTCCTCCTCATTTTCAGCCATCAAAGTGGTATCATCTGCATATCTAAGGTTCTTAATGTTCCTTCCAGTCATTTTTACCCCATCCATGTAATATGGCTCTTTGTATCTGCTGAGCATGAGTGAGACAGTGTGTTTTTTGGGAAACTTTTTGGCCATTATGAAAACAGAATAATAGACTACAGAGGTAGTTGGTCTGGGCCGTGAAGACTCAGGTTATGTTCTTTTGTCAAAATCCACTTTCCTCCTCAAATCCAATTTCTATCTATTGACTACACAGAGAGGCCTCACTTATCCAACCACCTCAATGTCTACTGCTGTAATTATAGATCCTGTTCAGTTCTTGGGTCTACCCTTAATGTTGGCTTTTGTAAATTATACAATCACATATCTTCCTTTGGTTTATCTTTGTTTCTGCTTCTCATTTAGATGATCAGACTCCATTCTTTGTATATAAAAAAAAAGCCAAAGTGCAAGGACAGCCGTGGATCAATGGTAGTAATGGAGTCAAACTTATAGTCATGCTTGTATGTAAGCATCATACTGACAACAGACATTCCCTACTTGATGATCTTCACAAGGTCTGTCAAGGGCAGTGGCTCTCAACCTGTGGATTCCCAGATGTTTTGATCTTTAACTCCCTGAAGTCCTAACAGTTGATAAACTGGCTGGGATTTCTGGACGTTGTAGGCCAAAACTCCTGTGGACCCACAGGCGGAGAACCACTGGTCAAGGGGCTTTCCAGTCAGGATCTGTTTTGGTTTTAACCAATAGTATGGACTTTGCTGTGGACTTGGAGCTATTCAAGGTGCTGAATCCTATCTTCACCCACGCAGCCAGGTTCAGTGCTAGGCTAACTCCTTTTACCTTTGGAATAGAATTCACCATAGCATTCGTATAACAGGCACAATTTAGCTCTGTTCAATTCTCTGATTTTTTTTATGTGTTCTGGGGTTTTTATCTAAGGTGTCCTTAGATAAGAAGTCATTCTTGTTTGATGAAATAGAGGTGTCACATAAACACAAATGAACGTGGGTGTAAGGTAGTGTTATTTGTAATTACAAGTAACCAAAGGAAAAATGAAAGGACTGAGTCATCCAATATTTTTTCTGTACAGATTAGGATGGTATAGAATAACAGGCCTGTAGCGAGGGGGGAGGGGGGTTAGGGGTTCAACCCCCCACCCCCCAAAATTTTCAGGTTAAAAAAAATAAACCTAGTTTACTCCTGAACTCCCCCCCCCCCCATTTTCAACCCTCCCCAAAAAAATTTTCTGGCTACGGCCCTGTAGAATAACAATTCCAAATTAACTAACTTTGAAACTACCTCTGATTGTGTAAACAACCTCTAGATTGGTGAATAACAGTAATGTATAGTACAGTATTCAGGAAATCAAGCTAGGCAATAACACTACATAACTCGTTTTTTGTCCCTGGGATATACATGTCATTTCCTAATTGGTTCTATCATAAAAACATGAAAAAAGTTGATTAAACGCAAAAACTTTGTTTTTGTGGGAGATCCTGCAACACATTTTGCAATTATTTTTTCAATGAATATCTCCTAGAGTCTCAACCAATTCAACATAGTTTGTGACAGCCACGAAAACAAAGTTTCTGGATATAACAACTGCTTTCAAAGTAAGTATTGCACAATTAAACAGGAAAAAATGCTAGGAAAAGATTTTTTTCATTTTTTTTTATTAAGGTAATATTTTCCATCAAGCATTAAAAGATATATGGGGTAGTATGATAGAGAGACAAAAAGAGAAGAAAGAGAAAAATCAGAGAACACACACACACACACACACACACATATAAGGAAAAAACCAGAAAAAAACAGGAAAACTGGGGAAGATCAAGGGGAAATTGTGTACTTCTATTCAGCTTTGTGATGGTTCTTAAATTTCTTAAAGTTCATGTCCTAGCTATGCTCCTCTTCATTGTTGCCTCAAAGTCAGGGATAATTTATCCTTAAATTAACACATTCCCTTTTTTGTCATGTAGTTTTTTTTCAAATTTTGTTGCATAGTGTAATTTGAGATTAGAAATACTACGAAATTCCTGTAGGACTAAGGCAAAATAGCATACTGGTTTAGTGTTATTTCATACATCAAGCAGGGCAAAACAATAAAGGGGAGATATGAAAAACTTTTTATCATAATCGAATCATTTCCTACAAACCTACCTACAAACCAATTGTTTGCAGAACTGCTAAAATGCACACATAAAGCAGTACCAGAAGGCTCAGAACAAAGCATAGACTTTTGGATAGACTTAAATGTCATCTATGCATTTTTACAAGGTATTTTTTCACTTTTTCCATCAAAGTAGTGCTTTTGTCATCCAAAATTGTCTTTTTTTCAGTCAGAACCTACATTAAAAATCATTAGTTTCAACTAGAGCTACTTCTTGCTCACTGTGTATAGAGTTGCTATTTTCTATCTCTTTAACAGATTTGTTTGTTCTTCTCTTTCAAGTTCTCAGAACTGAGGTTGATGGTTGTGCCAGGCACAACAACTTCTAATCCAGTGGTTCTCAGCCTTTTTTGACCAGGGATCACTTGACCAGGGACCACTTTGACCAGGGTTCCACTCTCCAACGTTCAAACCAAAAGGGTTACAAATCAGTTTTTAGTTAACTTTAGATTTGGTTTGGGGTGCTGTTAGATATTATATGTGACCTCTTTCTGGCAAGAGGAAGCGATAGCCATAACACCCTTCTCATAAAACGAGACTGGTTCTCATAAAGTTTGTTTTTAAATATGAAAGTTTGGAGTTATCTAATAAAGTACCCTTGAGTGAGTAAAATAAGAGCATTTCTCCAACATATAATGCTTTGTTTTCTCCTTACTAGTCATTAGTCCCCTTCTGAAATTTTGATAATATAAATACAATTCTGATTATTCAGTAACTTTTTGCAGTCTGAATAAACTGTCCCGTATTGTCTTGACCTGTCCTTGAAATTTCCCAGATAAAAATACAAAAGATGAATGGTGTGTAATGTAGCTGTTTTCTGTATATATGTGAAAACTTTGCAAACTGATATGTGGATATGAAATAACATGAACATGACCTGTGTTTTTTTCATAATATATTTTCAGTTCTTTACTCTTGTGATTTTAACTGAATTGTTGTTTTCTATGTTTTCGTGTGTCTCCTCTATTCACTGTTGGCCATGTGAAGGTTGTTTTAATTGTTTAAACATGAAACTGCTATTGTATCTTTTTATAGTGTTACAAAATCAAGCAAGAAAGAGATGAAGCAGTCAAACGGCTGGAAGAATTGCAAAAAGGTGAGTAGATGTTTGAAAATGAGATGTATTTTGACAGATTGAACAGAAAAAATCAATAATTTGTCATGTGGAGGTGGAAAGGGGCCCTGACTATTCAGTGGTGCCAAACCCAGCCAGAGCACCACTGGATGGCCAATCTCACCCTTTCTTTCTGATAATTGTGACAGCCAGTAGGTACAACATCGTTCGTCACCTTCACTGGGGTGACATTGAGTGGGGTACTAGAACAATATGGGAGGTGGGAAGGGAGAGAGGAGGAATCACCCCCTCCTCTTTCCCCTCCCTTCTCCAATTACCACATTGCTCCAGGTAGCATCACCCAAGGCAACAAGTGAATGGCATGACATCATACCCACTGGCCATCACCTCAAGGAGAACAGGAGGAGATGGTGAGTGCCATCTGATGTCCCAAGACCACCAGAGCTTGGAGACCACAGGATGGCTATGTAAACAGTTGCTTTCAGTTGCATTTTCAAATTAGCCTACCTATTTACATGGGGCCAAAGTCTCTGTTTGCTTTGCATTCTTTGGTTAATGAGGTTCAAAACCATGTTAAGCAGCTTTGGGTCATATTAACCTGGATCATCTCCATGGTCGTAGACTGCCATGGAGCTGATTTGCTTGCCGTTCAAAAGAAGTGGTCAACCATGTGCCCATGTACAAAAATATTAAAGATATTAAATTCAACTTTATTTCTATGAAGTGTTCTTAATGAACTTGAACTACAAGCTACTACACTGTATGATTTTAGCAGCAAGAATATTTTATGTGCAAAAATAGAAGAATAAGAAAAAACTGAATTATAGAACGTTTTGAATGGGAAGAAATTGATATGTTGTCTGTCTTAATAAAAGAGAACTCTGTTTACACTTCCTTAAATGAATGGGGATCATTTATAAAATTTATTAAAAAAACAAATATGAAAATGCTTGCAAGTTTTGAATATTAATAATAATGGGCTAGTAAGGCAGAAGAGAGAAAAAGAGAGTATACATGATCGTCATGTTTAAATATTTGAAAAGATGTCATAAAGAAGAGGGAGCAGGCTGGTTTTTTGCTGCCTTGGCAACTAGGACTTAGGGCAATGGGTTCAAATTACAGGAGAGAAGATGCCATCTGAACATTAGGAAAAACTTCCTGACCATACAAGCTGTTCAACAGTCTGAATAAACCTTGTACAGCAAATCTCTCTGCCTTGGAGTGTGGTAGAGCTCCTTTTTTTGGAGGCTTTTAAATAGAGGTTGGATGACTATCTGCCGGAGGTGCTTTGATTGAGTTGTTCCTGCATGGCAGAGGGTTGGATTAGATGGCCCACGTGGTCTCTTCCAATTCTATTCTTTAGAATAATTCTATTCTATGATTAAAAATTTTCATTTTATGTTCTTAGGGAGGTGGAATGTCAATTTTTTAATTTAATTGTTATTATTTTTCAGTGGGAGGGGGAATGGAGGTTGTATAAGATACATAGAACATCAATGAATGTTGTGTTTTGACTTCTCCAAAATTTTCCATTATATATGTGTATGACAATACAGATATTCCACACAGGCATACCAATGAAATAATCCAAAATACCAAAAACTTCTGGTCCCAAGTGTTTTGGATAAGGGATGCTCATCCTCTATTACGAGCAGCTACATACTAAAATAAACAAAAAAAGTGTGTTCAACCTATGGTGAACCGATAATAGTGTCATATGGGGAAGGGAGTGCGGGAGAGCCAGGCTCATTTGCTTGCTGTTGAAAGCCTTGGACGGATGCCTCTTTCAGACTCAGATTCCCTCTTTATGGATGATCACACACATGCACGTAGCCAAGTTTGAAGTCACTATGGCAATGTCTTCAACTGGCTCAAGGAACAAATATGCTAACAACTCAGCCCCCTCCCTGCCAAATATCCCGTTTTCCTCTTGTATGATAATGGATCTATTGATTCAGTGTGGTGTCTGGAGGTAACAAAGCACAGCTAATGGGAGTGGAAAGTCTCCTTTGAATAGCTTAGAGAGAGAGAGATGACAACAGTCTCGCAGCCTGTTGTGTTAGGTCTGTGTCACTCTAACATGTTTTGTTGGAGGATTAATAATAAAAGGTTAAAACGCATGCACACAGCCTTTCACCTAATACATTTTTGACAAAGACATTTAAACAGCTGTTGTTTACATTGGTTAATAAACAGAGTTTTGCAATACCTCCTGTGAAATAGTCTTAAATTTGGGGTGTTATGAAATGATCAGGTTGGTGACACCTTGTGCAGCAATACAGATACAGTGTGTGTGTGTGTGGATGTGTGTGTGTATATACGTGTGTGTGTGTGTATATATATATATATTCTAATAAGTCAAATTCCTGTGAAAGAGGGGGAGAAATGGAAATAATACCACACACCCACTCACATCTACACCTTGTGGCCTGTTTGTGTTATGATATTTGAAATTCGAGAAACTGGTGAATAATGACAAGTAGCTGAGGTTTAAAATTCAAAAGTAATATTTGCCCTTGTAAAATGTCATCGTTTGCCTTTATCTTCCCTTCCACAGTCCCCCCCCCTTCCCGTGCGCTTAAAAAAAAAGGACATACTTTGTAAATATAGCAATAAAATACCAGGAATATTAGGATTTTACAGCAATAATGGAGCCCATTATTTAAACGACAATATAAAAGGCAATTATATTGATGAAGAGCTACACGGGCTTTGTGTCTGTGAATAAACTTGGCCTGCGCTCAGCTTCTATTTGTTCTCCCGGCATAAACACATATTGTGCATGATTCCTGTTTAATGGGGCCCAGTTTGTATGCCAAGCAGCTGCATTTTAGGCCCTATAGCGTGATTTCATTGCTCTCTGAAAATTGGTTCTATTCAGCACAAGAGATAGAAGGTGTATGGGGGGAGTCGGGGGGAAGCTTCAACACACAATCATTTCTTTTCAATTGGAGCCAGAGAGGTTGATGACAACATGACCATTGTGTGATAATGATAAGACCACTAAGGATCTGTACTTCTCATCAAGGCTTTCACACAACAGCAGATACAATTTAATTCACTGCTCTGTCAGCAGTGCTGATACCATTATGCCGTCTGTCTCCACAGTTATAATCACTGTCCTCCAAGAAATGCAGTTGAAATGATCTTGAGCAGTCAAAGAAACTCTCAATTAAGGCTGCCACTTCCAATGTGTCAGATTGTGTCTTATGCACTTGGTACAATTTTCACTTCCAATCCTGTTTATTTACAATGTCGGCCAGTAATTACGCTTAACGTGCCCCTGCCAAGGAGATTGTTGGGGGCTGCGGTACCATTGAGTGGGAGTTTCTTGCAGTCAATGCCATCAGCGGCTTTTAGTCCCTGATGGGATGTGGTAGTGATGTTGATAATGCAAGTATCAAGCTCATCAAGTCATAATTAGATGCCACTCAAATGTGCCACTTGTAATAACAGTGTTGATTCATGTTTTCTCGGTGACTGCAACTACTAATTAGTTAAGTGGTTTTTGGTTGGCCTGCGTTTGCTGCATATTATTATTACCCCTGAAAAAATGTTGAGGTTGGAGAGGTTTCTGGCCACTTAGAGTTGCTTTATGAATTTTAATATCAGCGTAATAAGAACTTTGGGCTGTCTTAGGAAGTCTCTCGCTCTTTTTTATTTTTAATTTTTCATATTTTTTAACTTCTTGGGTTTAATGATAATTGCAGGTTAACTAATCTTAAATGAATCATGAGTTATCATCTCTTGGAAGACAGCTATTTAATTTTTTTTAACATGAAATCCAGTTTTTTAAACTAAAAGGGAGCAACTGTCTTTGCTTGCTTTATGAAGGACAAACCATTTTTTGATAGGAAGATATGACACTCTATCACCTTTTCTGGGTTTTTTTCTTTTGACAGTGAATTAGACTACATGAAAGAGACAGAACCTTGAAGTAACTTGGTACAAATAACTTGTTACAAAGAATTTCATTGTGGTTGTAATGTGAGAAGAGATTGCAGTATTACTAGTATACTGTTGGAATATATGGCCTCACTATTGAGTGTGTTTTTTCTCACTAGCCATTTGAAAAAGCTATTTTAAAAAAGAAACTTTAAAAGTAACTACTTTTAGTTACTTTAAAAAAAATAAGAAAACAAACGAGTTTTTTCCATAGTTGCACCCTTGAATTCAAAGGTTCCCAACATTTTTTTGAACAGGGATCACTTTGACCAGGGACCACTCTCCAACATTAGTACCAAAAGGGTTTTAGTCAACTTTAGAACCAGTTTGGTTATTTGGAGTGCTGATTCAGAAAACTTCATTGGATAGACCACATCAGTTCTAGTTTCTGATACAGAATATTTGCCATCCAGTAGTCACCATCTGCTTCCCCACAGAAAACCATATTTAATAAGCCTCAGTACTATAAGAGGGTTTTGTGAGACCAGTCGCTCTTGTTGCAACGGTGTAGTAACAAATGATGTAGCTGCGGATCATATTTTAATTCTTGCAGATCACTGGTGGTCCATGGACCACAGGTTGGGAACCACTGGTTTAATTGAATCATTCCTGTGGCTTTGGAACAGCTACTAATTACTTTTAAAAATTAACTTTTTTATTCTTAGATATATGTATATATGTGTGTGTGTGTGTGAGAGAGAGAGAGAGAGAAAGAGAGAAAGAGAGAAAGAGAGAGAGAGAGACACACAACTTGGAGATAGGAACCAAGTCAAACATGAAATTCATTTACGTCTCATACACATAGTTTGAAGGTAATTTAATACACAATACAATATTTTGAACAATGTTGTGCATGAAACAAAGTTTGTGTATATTGTACCATCTGAAAGCCGTAGTGTCAGCATCTCATGGCCTCATCACACTGCTGTTGAAAAAGACTCACCCTGCTTTACCATGGGAAAGCCACCACCCCTTGTCCCACATCACCCAGCTCCTGAGCATGGCATCCCTCATGTGGCATACCGGTGGCATACCGGTTCCAACCCTCCTTCACCCACAAAGTCGACACGATGCCATCTGATGGAATGGCTCAATGGATGACTGGAGCTAGATCAGTGCATGCCACCAATTTTAGCCTCATGTGATTAGGTCGTCAGTCACCCAGATGGAGGATTTTTGAGCATTTCAGATTTCAGATTTCCCGATAAACTATTCTCAACCTATGTACAATTTACTATGTGTACTCTCTGTCTCTTTTGAGAAAGAGAAAGAAAGAGAATGAGAGAGTTATAGAAAACAACATGTTCTCTTACATTTTGCTTTTTCCCCCAACTAGATGTTTAGGATAGAAAAGGATTGTGCGTGTACTCATAAAAAAGCCTCATAGAGTTTGTTGACGCTTACCATGAAGCAAATGTTCATAGAATTGTGGCCTAAGACAACCTGGTGAATGTGATTTTCTTTCCCCTGCAGCAAGTAGACCAGATTGCTTGGGGGAATTTCATCCCATTTTGCTCAACTCATTCCATTTTCTGATAGTATCTCTGCATGGAGCACAATGCTTATTTGGCTCTTGGCTTGTGGCACACATCAAAAATCGGTGGCCTGGGCTGACCTAATAGAAGATAAGCCTCTTAAAGTACAGGAACGTTTGCTGACTTTTTTGTTTCTACATTCTGTGATTGCATGATCCCAGCGTAGACAACCTCTCTGAGCCAGACTACATTTTTAACCTGTCTCCATGAAATGCTACTGCCATGTGGCGGTTCTCTGGGCCCGGTTATAACAATGCACTTCAAATCTTGCTGCGCCTTTATATATCTCTTTGTATGAAGACTGTTTGTGTCCATCCCTGTGGTGGTGTGGTGCCAGATGCTGGCAGAACTGAAAATGTAAATAACAATTATAGCAAATGGGAAAGTGTGTATGGGAAAGAAAGTATCACCGGTCTCCTGTTGTTTTTGTTGGTGGTTAATGATTTCCGTGTCAGTGGGGTGATGAATCTGCTCTGGCTTTATCGCACAAGGCAGGCAAACTGGCAAGGCAATTGGACCATCACCTTTAGTGATGTTACTTATCACATAATGCCATTTGCATCTCACTACCAGTCTCCCCCCCCCCCCCCCCCCCCCCCCAAGATGGGTAAAATACATTAAAAGCTCCCAATGCCAATCAGCTATTTTATGTTATGGTTCCCTACCACTTCTGTGCCAGCATGCCGACAGTAATGCGATAACAGGAAGCAGGATTCTCCTCTTCTCCGCCTTCACCTCACTATTTCCAAGCTGTCTACTAGATACTGCTTCTGCGGGAAGGTAACAGTACTCCATACAGTCATGCCGGCCACATGACCTTGGAAGTGTCTATGGACAATGCCCGCTCTTTGGCTTAGAAATGGAGATGAGCACCAACCCCCAGAGTTGGACATCACAGAACCACAAATTGGAAAATCAGCACAATTGTGCTACTAAAGTGAGGGTCAGTATCAAGGACACTCAACACAGTATATATCAATTATCAGCAATAACACAATTGTTGTGTTATTGCGGGTTTGTGTGACAAAGTATTAAATCAAACGTTTTAAAGAGCCATCCAAAGAGTTGAACCCTACACCCAAAATAGGTTCTACACTTTGAGTACCTCTTTTAAAGAATGGACTGGACTCTGAAATTTAGACCTTAAAGAATGGATTCACTGTATTGTTGAAGACTTTCATGGCTGGAATCACTGGGTTGTTGTAGGTTTTTTCGGGCTATATGGCCATGTTCTAGAGGCATTCTCTCCTATCATTTCGTCTGAATCTATGGCAAGCATCCTCAGAGGTTGTGAGGTCACAACCTCTGAGGATGCTTGCCATAGATGCAGGCGAAACGTCAGGAGAGAATGCTTCTAGAACATGGCCATATAGCCCGAAACAGACAGTCCCCAAGTTTCAAACATCTGACTTAGAAATTACTCATAGGCACAAACGAGAGTAAGACAACAGGAAGTGAGAGTAAGTCCAACCTTCGGAAGGTAAATTCACTCCTGAAAAAGTTATCATGAGGAAAAGATGTCTCCACTGAAGCTTTATCACCAATCCTTGTTTCCACAAGCCAAATTTTTCAAAATCCAGCTATCACAGGTACAGAAAGTGAGGTGAAATGTTCTGAACAAAACAATCCCAAAGATAAAAGGGAATATAGATATATGAAGTTACACTCCTAGAATGTACACGTTTTGACATACATACGAATTCAACTTAATAACAAAACTAAAGAACCTATCTTGTTTGTAACTTGAGGACTGCCTGCATCTATAAGTAAAGGAGTATTTGTAATGAAAATTTTGTAAATAAATAATAAATAAATGTTATTGATTAGCCCTTAAGCAATATCACCACATTGAAGATTTTTTTAAAAAAATAAACATACTTTTAAAACTCTTTAATATTAATATTTAGTTCTGGTTTTAGGATTCTTCATCTTTTTATGTCATGATAACCAGGTCCTGATATCTCTCTCTGTCTATTTGAGTGTATGTGTACATGCTTTTAAAAAGTAGCTAACATCAAGTAGATATTCATAATCATAGGATGGGGTTTTTGAGCAAAAATCAGGGAGGAGGGAAAGGCTTGACTCATATCAAACTCAGTATGAATCAAATTCTTTCCCACATTTGTTTCAGTTTCTCACATGGTTATTGAGGAAGTCAGCTGTATACAGAACCACCTCGAAATCGAAAAGACATGTCGTGAAAGTGCAGAAGCTCTTGCTACTAAGGTAAGATATGTGTTTCCTTTTTCCTGAGTGGAACGCAAAGTTTTGGTGTAAAAGTATTTTCAGATTATTGAAAGGGGAATTCAGAATGTCTTCCCGCCCACTCTCTCCTTGTCTGCTTGGTCATTGGAAAAGTACTGTGATCTTCATAAGAAACTGCAGTTGTAATGCTGTGCAACTGCCCTCTGAATAAACATGGACAGAATGGGGCTGTAAGTCTGTAATTGCTAGATCATTGCTTGACATTTGATTTCAATGAACAGCATGGGATTTATTTATGAGTTTCTTCTAATATGTCAGCATAAGGAGTATTGCACAAAGTGTCTACTCACACGAAGACCATATAAAGCCTTGCTGACAGTGATATTTTTTGTGTAAAGAAAGCACACATTTTTCACATGCAGAATATTCCATTAAATACTGAAGTATGGGCTCTCAGCTCAGTCTGTGACATCATATCTACATTGAAAACACCTCAGTAGGAAATAGTGTACAACTTATATATAAAGTGGATTAAACTGCTCAGCTGCTAAATTTGTTGACCAAAAGGTCGCAGGTTCGAATCCGGTGAGCGGAATGAGCTTCTGCTGTCAGCCCCATCTTCTGCCAACCTAGCAGTTCAAAAACATGCAAATGTGAGGAGATCAATAGGTACTGACCTCATCCCTCCTGGCGTTCAGAAAGAAATTAAAATCTTGGTTTTGGGACCAGGCTTTCGGACAATAAACATAAAGCAGCACTTTGATTGGAAATGGATTAGCAAGACGATATGTATAAGGATACGGTTTTATGGTTCTATCAGTGGGTTTGTGGACTGAGTATTATTTTAATGACTCATGATAATTTGGTTATAATTAACTGCTATTGTTTTAACTCTGTATGTATTTATGGTTTTATGCTGTGTTATTGTCTGTGGCATCAAATTGCTGCCTTTGTTAGCTGCTCTGAGTCCCCCTTTGGGGGATGAGAAGGGCGGGGTAAAATGCTGTAAATAAATAAATAAATACCACTCCGGCGGGAAGGTAACAGTGCTCTGTGCATTCATGCCAGCCACGTGACCTTGGAGGTGTCTACGGACAACGCTGAGCACCAGCCCCCAGAGTTGGATATGTCTGGATTTAATGTCAGGGAAAAACCTTTACCTTTTTTTAGCTCCACTTTCAGAGGGTTTATGGTCACAGCTGCTCTACAAAAGTTGGAAAACCTTGAATATCTCCAGATGGGGGATAACGTGGCACTGCCACTGCAGTCTGGGGATCTGCCATGGTCCCAGGCGCAAAAGGAGGAGGAACTGGCCTGACATGCTGTTTCGTGTACCGTGTGAACCCTGCCCCCTTTTCCTCTTCCTGCATGCCGGAAGTGTCTATTTCATCTGACCAAAGGAAGAAAGATACCAGATTGGACAGAGATATATGACAAACTGGAAGTAGAGCGGAAACTGCACCCCCCCCCCCCCACACACACACATATGTACATCTGCAATCTCACTTATCCTTTAGATCTGGTTTTTTCTACCGTGTGTTGCTGCTCCTCCAGGTCCCCTTCTTTGCCCAAGCAAAACAGATTTTCATAGTACACAGGAAGGGGAAGATGACCTGGATCCACAAGGTAAGCGAAGTGACACAGGATCGATGCCTCCTCTTCCTGTATACTTCATTTGTGTGGGGGGGGGGGCAGAGAAGAAACCCTCTTGCTCACATCCTGAGGACGTGACTGCCACTTGAATGTTCAAACACCAACCCCGACTTTAGGAAATGGGGGAAGCAGCACAAGCTGACAATCAATCAAATCCATAAGAGAGGAGGAACAACTGTGCATTGTCACATTAGGATCATTACGTAGACACTGGTTATGAAACAATCATTTGCTAGATACTTGTATGCCACAGGTTGCAAGTAGGTTTGCATATTTGTGCTTTATGAAGTTCCCCCTCCAGATGAGATTATCTTTTCCTCAGTCAGCAAAATATATATGCATAGCCCTGGATGTTAAGTTGATGATGCTGTTTTGGACAGTGTGTGTGTGTGTGTGTGTGTATATATATATATATATATATATACACACACACACATATACATACACACACACACACACACACACATACACACATACCCTGGTGGCACAGTAAGTTAAACCACTGAGCTGCTGAACTTGCTGACCGAAAGGTCAGCGGTTCAGATCTGGGGAGCAGGGTGAGCTCCCACTGTTAAGCCCAGCTTCTGCAAATCTAGCAGTTCAAAAACATGCAAATGTGAGTAGACCAATATACTACATGATCTAGGAGGTGTCTACAAACTATACTGGCTCTTTGGCTTAGAAATGGAGATGAGCACCACCCCACCCCCCAGTCAGACACAACCAGACTTAATGTCAAGGGAAACCTTTACCTCTTCACACTTTACACACACACACATATTTTAAAGCAATGGAAGTCTTGTGTTAGATATTTTATCTGATATTCCCCAAAAATAAATTTGTTTGACCTAACTTCAGTGCTTTTAAAATATGAGAAACACTATCTCGTCCATATATATATATATATATGTATATATATATATATCTCCCTCGTTTATACCTCTGGGTGAAATGATAAACACTTTAAAATGCCCCAAGTATCCATGACATGAAAGAATAATGAACATTTCAGTGTTTGATTTAAATGGAAAAGTCAGTCTGAGGACTGCCTTTCAGGTGATTGTTTATGAAAGCAAACCACGGAGCAAGCGAAAGGTGACCTGTACTGCTCTGCTGATTGCATCTAGGTTGATGAATTTACCAAGTGTATAATTTTCTATATTCCATCTCATCAGAAGTGCATTATTATTATTATTAAGGAATGTTTTTATCTCTGTGTGATACACACATACACACACATACCCACCCACGTACATATATATATAGTTGTGAAAAACACATCTGAACCACTTCATCATCAGAAAATGGATTGCAGCAATTTTGTACCAAATTTCATTAGCAATGCCGACTTGTTCTGTGTGCATTTGCAGATCTCTCCCCCTTCCCAAAGTACTTCTGCAGATGTGGCAAAAATCACACCAGCAGGAAATCTTTTTTCATTTAGATGCATTAGCAATGTACTTTCTGGAGGTATTTACTTAATTGTTTGCATAATGATACTACATTAGGATTCATAAGATAGTCAATCAACATATCAGTCAGAAAATGAATTTATGGATGTAACTATCCTTTCTTTCCATTCTTTGCTTATAGTGACACATAATGCCAGTTTTCCTATTGGACAGCTGTATCGAGGCTGACTTGCCTCTTAATATATGGTGACTATGCTATGCAGAATTTATCATATTTTCTGTCCAAAAGAAAAACCACTTAGGGGAAGTGGGAATGCATAGTGTGTAGAAAAAGCAGCCACTTGCATGAATCATGGCTCAGGATTTGTGTAGGGATCCACAATGCCCAAAATCTGTCTCCCTACCATTTGGCAACCTTCCCCAACCTGTGCCCATCAGATATTTTGGGCAGAACTTGGAATTTCCCTTTAAAAAATTGCATCCCCAAGATCATCCAGCCAGATGAGATGGTTAAGAACAGTAGAGAAAGGTTGAGAAAGGCTGCTCTATTACAGCCCTTTCAAGGAATGGATGTTTTTGAGGCTTTATGGAGCCTGCTTAAGGAAGCAGAAGAAACCTATGAGGAGATTGGTTTGAGCTGGAAAACTCTGTTCTCTTCAGACTCTTCAGGTTGTTAATGGGAGCTAGCTACAGGGAGCAGTCAATCCCCCTGTTTAAGCAGCTCCATCGGCTTCCAATAAGTTTCCAGTCCCAATTCAAGGTGCATGTTATTACCTACAAAGCTCTAAATGGTTCGGGATTTGCCTATCTTCATTATCGCATAATCCCCTATGAACCAGCTCATACCCTAAGAGGCTCTTCTCTCACTGCTGTCTCAAGCATGGTTGGTGGGGACGAGGGTGGTGGGGATGAGGGAGAGAGCCTTCTCGGTGATGGCCCTCCAGCTCTGGAACTCCCTCCCTAAGTAGATCAGACAAGCACCCACCTTGTCCACCTTGGATGTTCCCTTGTGCCTTTGATTAGGCAGTTCACCAGAGAACTTGCTCGATCTTACCTAAGTTCCTGCACTTTAGTTCTGCCTACCCCCACTAATTTTGACACTTTATGGCCAGAGGTACTCCTTCTAGAGTTATACTTTTTGCACATTCCTTTGGCTCTACTTAGGAATTTATCATACTTACCTGAGCCCGGACCCAGCTCTGATTCTGTTTTCAGCCATGTTGTTGTTTATGTCTGTGTTTTGTTTTATTGATTGATTTTAATACTGATGTTTTATCTGTGATTTGGGCTTGTCCCCATGTAAGCCACCCTGAGTCCCCTTGGGGCGATGGTGGCAGGGTATAAAAATAAAGTTGTTGTTGTTGTTATTTGAAACACAACAAGATGAGTCCACAGCAAACAAGATCACTCTGCTGGCTGTTGTATTGGATCACACGTCGGACACTTCCCAAGTGTCTAGGACTGTATGATGTATTGGCAAATAATGCGTGCAGATCCCAGTAGGGTAGCCTTTTGCAGCTGGCAGATGGTAATCTTGTCAGACCTTGGCCTGCACGATTGTGTTTAAGTGCAGGCCAAGGTCTTTAGGCACTGCACCCAGTGTGCAGATCACCACTGGGACCACCTTTACTGGTTTGTGCCAGAATCTTTGCAATTCGAACTTTAAATCCTCGTGTCATGTCAGCTTTTCCAGTTGTTTCTCTTCAATTCTTCTGTTTCCTGGGATTGCAACGTCAATGATCCACACTGTTTTTTAACACGATCTATGAGGTCAGGTGTATTGTGCTCCTAAACTCTGTCAGTCTGAAGTCAGAAGTCCCAGAGTAGTTTGACGTGTTCGTTTTCTGTAGCTTTTCAGGCTTGTGATGCCACCAGTTCTTTGTCAGTTCTTTGTTTCAATGAATCATCTGAGCAACGATGTTATGCCTCTGCTTATAGTCTGTTGTTGTTGTTGTTGTTGTTGTTGTTGTTGTTGTTGTTGTTGTTGTTGTTGTTGTTATTCCTTGCTGGCTTTTCCTTGTTGTGTGCCTTTAGAGTGTTTTTGTTTTGTTTTGGGGGGTGAAACTTTCATAGTTTTTTAAAGCTTTGTCATTAGGGATTTGCCTTTGCCGTCTTCTGAGCATGAGGGAGTGGAACTTGCCCAGTGAGTTTCATCCAGTGCTCAAACTATTACACCACACTTTGTCTTGCTGGCACAGTGGAAATATTGGTGAAGACATTTCTAATCTTTAACTAATTCTTTTTTTATTTATTTACTACATTTATATCCCACTCTCTCTCACCCCCAAGGGCGACTCAGAGTGGCTTACAACATGGCAATATTCAATGCTGCAAATACAATCAAATACAAAGCTACATTATATATAAAATTATAAATAAAAAAAAGCTTGAACATTGTAAAACTGTTAAAACCATTATACCAAATCATAATTTGTGTTGGTACAGATATGCCAATTCTATATTGCACCACCCAACGCTTATCCAAACTTCTGATCCCATAACCAGGTTTTCACACTTTCCCTGAAAACCAGGAGGGAGGGGCCAGTCTGATATCATTAGGGAGGGGGTTCCATAGCCGAGGGGCCACCACTGAGAAGGCCCTGTCTCTCGCCCCAACCAGTCACACTTACAATGGAGGTGGGACTGAGAGCAGAGCCTCTCCCACAGAACATAGCTCTCTAACTAGTTCACACACACACACACACACACACATATTTGGACAGGTAAGTTGGACTGGAGCCTTGGAAGTTTAGTCTTTTCCTTCCCAAAATAGTTTTGCTTATTTTTACCTCTTCATTAAACCAAAATACATTGTTCAATCAAAATTTGTTTGATTGAACAATGTATTTCCCTGATGTCTCTGCTTTATCTCCTGCACCCATTTATTTTTTTATTATATTGATTGGAGTTGTATTGTAGTTTGTTAGCTGACCTGAATAAGCCCTGGAAGATCAGCAAATAAATATTAACATACAATAATAAATAAAATATACCTGGCCTTGATTTCGAACACTGCTTAAATTGTGGGGTGGAGTTTCTGAAATCCAACTTTAAACAAGTTATTTATTTCATCACCATTATTCAATCTTCTTAGTGGCTTTATGCTGACAGGCAGATTTATTGAATTTTATTTTAGTAATAAAGACAAATGCAATAAGTGTGTTTTCATCAACAGTGCAACTGGTTTGTCTGCTTGACTTATGTTTGTAGCTGAACAAAGAAAACAAGACTCTGAAAAGAATCAGCATGTTGTATATGGCAAAACTGGGTCCAGATATAATTACTGAAGAAATTAACATAGATGATGATGAGTCCTCTACGGATACAGAAAGTAGCCCTGGTGTATGTGAATCACTGCAATGCCAGCAGGTGATAAAAGGTAACCAGTTGCTTTGAGAGTAGGATGAAGTTGTCATTCTTAAATGTAACCATGAATAACAAACATCAAGTTGGGCTGTTGTAGGTTTTTCAGACTGTATAGCCATGTTCTAGAAGCATTATAACCTCTAGAACATGGCTATACAGCCCAAAAACCTACAACAACCCAGTGATTCCGGCTATGAAAACCTTCAACAATAAACATCAAATTGCTCCATAACAAGTAATTGGTTCTTTATAATAGGGATGAAGAACTTGAGGTCCTTCAGCTGATGTTGGGCTCCAACTCTAGTCATCCCTGGCCAATGGGTGAACTTACCATGAATAATGGGAGTTGAAACTCAGTAATATTCAGAAAGCCACATGTTCTCTACCCCTGCTCTGTAGTACCATGATCAACAATATCTGTAGGAGTTTGGGTTCTTTCCATTTACCTGAGCTGTAAGTACTGGGTTTTTCCACATTTTCTATCATCTAACAGCCCAAGCAGATAGAGTTCAGGTTTCATTTCAAATTTAACTTTAACAAATTCTTCTAAAATCATATGTGTTTGTCTCCGGTGTTTCTGAGCTCTTTTACATGCCCACCACATATGGCAAAAAGTGTCTATCTTTCCCCCACATTTCCAAAAATCACTAGAACTATTTTTATACATCTTAGTAATCCTTTCTGGTGTCAGATACCATCTATACATCATTTTATATACATTTTTATTCAGGTCATGGTGATTGTATGATAGCTGGGTCCCCCTGCTACGAGCATTACGCAGAGGCCCAAAGGCGGTTGTGAATAAGGGAAGGGATCATGTGGTCAAGAGATGGGACAGAGTGAGAGTGGGGAGAGAGGGACACTGAGAGTGGGAATATACTTTGTAGTTGCATTTGAAGGAAGGATAGAAACAAGGGGAGGGTTACGGTTAGGGTTAGGGTTGGAGTAAGGGTTAGGGGTTAGGGCTAGGGGTGGGGTTTTACCATTAAAGAACTCTTACATTCCTTCTATATTATCTGTGTCCAGCCTGGCTTACATTACCTCAGTCTCTCACTCCACCCCCCTGTCTTAGTCACGTGTTCTGTTCTGTGTTGTGTTGCACAAACAGAGCTCCCAAAGGAACGAAGCGGAAACAGCGTACCGCTCATAGCAGGGGGACCCAGCTATCATACAATCACCCAGGTTATTACTCAGTGAAAATTTCAAACTCTTTGTCCAAACTCTTTCCCATTTTTCCATTTGTAATCATTTATTAAAATGTTGTGCCCACTTAACCATAATATCTTTCACCTGTTCCTTCTGCATTTCATATTTTAACAACAATTTATCCAGCTTAGCAATTAAGTGGCCATCTCCAGAGACTAGAACAATTAAAGTTCAGGTTTAGCCAAATAATTTTTGTCAATTTTGAATCGTTCTAAAAATTGTCTGGAGGCAAAGCATTGTATTAGGAAGCCTTCAGACAGTAATTCCTCTCTCATCTTCATTCTAAATTGTGTGTTGTCCAATATCAAAAAGTTTTTATATGTCAACCATTTTTTTCATAGCAATTGCCGATCTAAACAAAGCTTCTTGTGGAGAGCACTATAAGGACTTCTTAGCGTAAAAGCTTATCTTATAAGCTTATCCACATTTGTAATAGCTATCTCCTTACGTAGTGGCTATTAAAATTAGAGTCTGCCTTTATATTATTATACCATACATAGGTATGAATCCCAAATTTCAGACCTTCTCCTTCTAGTTGTAAGAAACGTTCATTTCTCAGGAGTAACCAATTCTTCAACCAAGTCAAACACCATGAATGACCATAGGTTTTGAAAAGAGGATGACTAGGAAAACCTAGTCATCCTCTTTTCCTATCATCTTGTAGTACAGTACTTTAAAGCTGACACACTGACAGTCTTTTTCCTTGCCAAATAAATGTTAATAGGTCTTTTTGCCATTGCTTAAATGGAGTATCATTCAATATAAGTGACAAGGCTTGGTACAAAAACAGCAACCCATAAGAAATAGCTGCAGACCTTTCCACCCAAGCAAATCTTTTTTTTTACTTCTTTCCATATTAAATCATAATTGTCCTTAACAGAAATGTTAAAACGTATATATTTAAATTTTGTACAACTTGAAAACCGAATTTCAGAGATGCAGCTGTTAGGAATTGTGAAATTTGAAGTCCAAAACACCTGGAGGGCCGAAGTTTGCCCATGCCTGCATTAGAGGCTGCCAAATGGCTTGATTTCACTGAAAACCGAAAATCTCTTTGGGCAATGGTTCCCAGTTTGTGGAATGTGACTTTCCTAGGTATAGTAGGGGCTATGCCATAGGGATACTAGATTATTAATAGAGTCATGAAAATCTGTCAGTTCAATTTTTGTTGCATTTCTCAGAATCCTGATGCTTTTCCCATAACATCTATTTCTGCACCAAGCAAAAAACTGTTTGCAATTGTCATGTGAAAAATTCTATTTGTCTTGTATGTACGCTTACTAACATATACATCTTTTGCACACTGATCTCACTGGCAGAAGTGTATTTGTGCACATTTTTAAAATATTGTGCACATTTTAATCAAGCATAGTTTACAGATGCCAACCTGGAGCTTTTGCACTTTTTTCTTCACTGCAATGCAATTTTGGAAATGTACAGAACTCTAAGGCAAAATGTGTTTCATCCCATTGCCAGTAAGAAGGCAAGACTTTTTTTAATGTTTTAGCAGCAGAGTATATGTATTAGGGGGAATACATAACATGAATGAACTTCTAATAGGGCTTTGAAATTAACAGGTGTTAACCTCTTTAAAGTAGGCTAAGTAAACATTGAGTTTACAAACTAGCAGGTCTCTAGAATAAAAATCAGACTCAAATAAAGGATCAGACAAAGCAGGCAACTGATAAAGAAACTTGTAACAGGATCTGTATGTAAGACATCTGCCTTCTCAATAATTTAAGCACCTATTGATGCTGGATTCTTCAGCTTTTCTACCAGCATGCTTTTTTTTTCTATGCGTTTTGTGTGCTTGGAAAGACAAATGAAAATTGAACTTCAATCTCTGCTTATGAAAATGTAGATCTTCGAGATCAAATTATAGCTCTTCAGGAGGAAAAGAAGTCCATTGCCATTGAACTGGAAAACCTGAAGATCAAATTTGTTGAAGAAGTTGTAGAAGTAAGTATTATGGTAAGATGGCTATGAGTCAGCGATGTCGGTCCGTTTTTGTGTGCTTGAGTGGCTAATTTTCAGTATATAATGGTTCAGTCTATGAATGTTTGAGTCCTTCCCAGAAGTAGTGGGTCTGTGAACAGCTTTTTCTATCTTGATTATCCTTTTCCATTATGTGGTTCCTCTTCCAATTCTCTTTATTCCCCTCTAGGCTAATGATCAGTGTGAATCTTGAAAAACTAGGTTTGGTAATGGCATTTAAGCAGTTGGATGAACAAATAGATCATGCCCTGATGTGTAACTTACCAGCCTCCAGTGAAACCACTGGTCCCAAATTATATGCTTTGAACTGGATTATATGAGTCTACACTGCAAGATAATCTGGGATAAGAAGATAATCTGGGATCAGATCCTGGGATATAGGGCAGTGTAGATTCAGCCACACTCACATACTTGGGTCACAGACATCTAGAAGGATTATCTTCATACCCAGTGTAAGTATTTAAAAACCTTCCATCACTGCCATTAGTTGACCTCCATAATTAAGAGTCTTAGGAGGAAGTGGTGGAAGGATGGGTGAATAAAAGACCTTCTAATTTTGAAAAGTTCAAAATTGGCCAATCATTTATTGACTGATTGTATTTTGTTTTGCAAAATTAAACCCACAATTTTAGCTAAGTGTCAACCAGTCTTCTCCCGCACTTTTACCATTTTCTGTAATCTGATAGAATAATTGAATCACAAAATCCAACCCTTTGCCATGTAGGAATGCACAGCCAAAGCCATTCAACTTCTGTTTAGAGACCGTCCAAAGAACAGAGTCAGCCATCGTAAAAGACAGTCCTGTGCCACTGTTGAAAAGCTCATACTGTCAGGATTTTTTTCCTAATGTTTAGGTTGAATTTTTTTTCTTGTAATTCAAATCCATTGGTTCATGATCTAGCCTTGAGAACAGCAGAAAGCAAACTTTCTAAATTAAATAATATTCCTTCCAATATTTAAAGATTCCAAGCTAATTCAGTATGTGCAAAGAACTTACTGCTACTATACGACTCCACGGTCTTGTTAAAATTTAGCATTTAAGTCAATGGACTCTTCAAATGTACTTGGCCTAGAACTCCATCCATCATAGCCAGTGTTGCCAACAATGAGGGTTTGTGGGAACTGACAATTCAAAAGCATTTAGAAGACTGCAGCCTACCCCCACCCACCATTTAAACTTCTAGTTGTTTTAATGCTAATTACAACATACTCTGATGCACAAGGTTAATGTTACCCAGCTAACTGTAAACAGCAAGAGAAGTATTAAGTTCAATGGAACATTTCATAAATGTGGTTTTAATGAGCAACATCCAATGAAAGATCAATTCTTGCATGTTGGATTGAAAACTCAATAGTTTTATAACCAAATCTCAAGATTAAGGACACAATTTTAGGGAGTGCAAACTGTTCCTGAGCAGAAATGCATAGCATTGCACTGTACATGGTTTACTGTTCCTAGTCATCTTTATTTTATGCTTGTTCCTGCTTGTTCTAGGTAAATAAAATAAAGCAAGAAAATGCAGTACTGGCAGCAGAAGTTCAGAATCAACAGAACGTTTTGGAAAAATGTAATCGAAGTATGTATAAACATTTAATAGTGTTTCACTACTTCTGTTGTACCAATTCCTTTCCAAATGCATGAAGTATAAATAAAAAATCAGGGAATGAAATCCCAAGTGGGGCAGCCTAGACTCCCATGGGACAACATTTCATAGCTTGTGTGCAACCACTGAGAAGCCCCCCCCCCTTGTATCCTTCTGGGTTTTCCTATTTAAGAAGGACCACAGCTGCTGTAACAAAGTGTCCCCAAGTCCCATCTCAGAAATGCAGTTTAGAAGAATCCCATGGTTAATTGTATGAAATGCTATGAAGATATCCAGGAGATCCATCAGGAACACAATCCTGTGTCCATCCACTGGAATTGTCTCCATTCCCATAGTCAAGCCTAAAGCAAGGTTGAAATGGATCTCGACAATCCACTCCGTCTAGGAACTCCTGGATTTGGAAAGCCAGGACATATTGCTGAATCTTCCCCAAGAAAGGGATATGGGAAAGTGGCCCCCATGGTTGGGTCTAGTGGGGAGGATTTACTGTGTGTGTTATGGTGTTTGGTTTTATTTTCTTACTTTGCTTTAAACAGTGTCTGTACTGGCAGTAGAAGAATACGATGAACTACAGGTCAACTTTGAATTGGAGAAAAACTTACGAAAGAGAGCAGAATCATTTGCACAAGAGGTATGTGAGCTCATGGATTAGTTAGACTAAATAATTTACTAGTGCAAATAGTTTCAAGAATGATGTGAATGTGCTATCAGTCCTCTTCCCAGTGTTTCCTTAAGTCAACAAAAAAACCCTTGGGGCCCCACATTTTAGTCAGCAATTTTATTTTGTCACAGTTCACTTTCAACACTGAGTAAATCCCAAATGCCTTAATTTTTCCAGAAGATCGTTCACTCTGTCAAATAGTTTTTGCATCATTGTCACAAGATCATCTCTATAAGCTCTCAGTTTTTTTAATTCTCACCCCATAGATTAGCATTTCTCAACGTGGGGGTCGGGACCCCTGGGTGGTTGCAAGGGGTTGACAGAGGAGTTGCCAAATACCTTCAGAAAACACAGTGTTTTCTGTTGGTCACGGGGGTTCTGTGTGGGAAGTTTGACCCAATTCTAACGTTGTTGAGGTTCAGAATGCTCTTTGATTGTAGGTGAACTATAAATCCCAGCAACTACAACTCCCAAATGTCAAGGTCTATTTTCCCCAAACTCCACCAGTGTTCAAATCTGTGCATATTGAGTATTCGTGCCAAGTTTGGTCCAGATCCTCATTGTTTGAGTCCACAGTACTCACTGAATGTAGGTGAACTACAACTCCAAAACTCAAGGTCAGTGTCCAACAAACACTTCCAGTATTTTCCGTTGGTCATGGAAATTCTGTGTGCCAAGTTTGGTTCAATTCTATTGTTGGTGGAGTTCAGAATGCTATCTGATTGTGGGGGAACTATACATTCCAGCAACTACAACTCCCAAATGACAAAATCAACCCCCATCAACTCCATCACTATTAAAATTTGGGCATTTTGGGTATTTGTGCCAAATTTGGTCCAGTGAATGAAAATACATCCTGCATATCAGATATTTACATTATGATTCATAACAGTAGAAAAATTACAGTTATGAAGTAGCAATGAAAATAATTTTATGATTGGGATTCACCACAACATGAGGAATTGTATTAAGGGGTTGTGGCATTAGGAAGGTTGAGAACCACTGTCATCTTGTCTGAAGTAGAATTTTATTTTCTTATGACAAGTTGGAAAGCTTTTTTCCTTTTTGGACCAAAGTGAAAATGTGATCTTGATGATTCTTCTAAGACACTAGGGCTCTTTTATGAAATGCAATGAGTCCCTTTAGACATGCTCATAGCTGTGTACTAATCAGTTTCTTGTGCTGGAGGCCAGTTGTAATAATCCCATGGGTTTCCAAAGGGGCTTCTCTATCAGTGTATGTAGCTGCCTTCTAGATAAATGGGTCCCGGTTGTAGCACACACTACATGGCCTTTGGGTTGGGCCCTTATCTATAAATTGCAAACACCTTTGCTTCTTGACGATTAACTAAGTACAGGAAGAATGCCAACAGACAAGTGTTTGGTTTAGCAAATCAAGAAAGCTATACATGTCAAGCTTCAAATTTATGTGGTCATTCATTCATTAATTTCCCAAGAACAAAAATCCAAGAAGACATTTAATGAATGCCCAAAGCTAGTCTCCCCAGTCCATACTTCCACTTTTTTCATTGGGTGTTCCACCTTGGGAACACTAATTACTGCAAGTCCCCCTGTTTCATCCTGTTTGAAAGGCTTAGTTTCAAACATGACTAAATTAGAGGTGTTCAGCTATGTGTTGCTGTATCACATTTTTGTGGTGCATTGTTCAGACACTAATTCTGGCCAAATGGCTATTTTGTTTACTGAAGTGTCAGGAGAGAGAAGTTGAGAGTGTCAGCAAAATCAAATAGGTACTTTAGCTTCAGGGTCTGGCTACTGGAAACACGCTCGACTGTTGGGTTTGAACACCAGCAACTCTGAATTGATTTCTTATTAGTGTCTTCAAAGGTTAAGTCATTTGGAAAAAATGCCCTGTACAAAATAGATAGATTTTTGACTTCGAACATGATTTACTATGGGAAAGGTATATGCAATTGGTTGTCCATATCCACAGATTCCATATCCACAGATGCAATCAACCATGGATAGAAAATATTCAAAATAAAGCAGTGTGGGAGTTCTCACCTCTTTCTGTCCTCACCTGGTGGCCCCACAGGAGGACTGTGATGGAGACTGTTCTGCTGTAGTCCCCTGTTGAGGGTGAAGAAGCTGCTGAGATGGGATCAGGGAGAAAGAGAGAGAAAAAGAAGAACGAGAAGGAAAGAAGAAGACAGGAGACTGCTCAGAGAGGAACCTCAGTAGTCTTACATAGGGTTAACCTTGGCAGAGGCTGTGGAGCTGTTCTGGAGTATCTTTCCATGGCGGCTAACACACAAGCTGCATGGCCAAGCAAATGGACAGGTGTCCCCCATTGCCCGTTGTCAGATTGAGGCCTTGAGCATTTTTGGATTTTGGTATCTACAGAAACCCCTGGTGGCGCAGTGGGTTAAAGCGCTGAGCTGCTGAACTTCCTAACTGAACGGTTGCAGGTTCGAATTCAGGGAGCAGTGTGAGTTTCCACTGTAACCCCAGCTTCTGCCAACCTAGCAGTTCAAAAACATACAAATGTGAGTAGAACAATAGGTACCGCTTTGGCAGGAAGGTAATAGCGCTCCATGCAGTCATGTTGCCCACATGACCTTGGAGATGTCTATGAACAACGCTGGTTCTTTGGCTTAGAAATTGAGATAAGCACCTCCCCCTAGAGTTGGAAATGACTGAACTTAATATGAGGGGAAAACCTTTACTTTTACCTATCTACAGAACATCCTAGAACTAGTCTCTCATGAATATTGAGGACCAACTGTATTGATAAACATGAAAATGATTTCCATAAGGAGACGTTGAGGATTAGTTTTTATAGATATTACTGTTTTTTATATTATATTTTTAATGTTGAATTGTTTTTATGTTTTTATAATTGTTTTTAACTGGACCCTGATATTTGTTATTGCATCGAATCGCTGCCGACTGTGAACCGCCTTGAGTCGCCTCTGACTGAGAAAGGCAGTATCCAAATGCAGTAAATAAATAAATAATAAATAAGAATAAGCCAGTGAGGTGTAGTGACCTGAGTGTTGGACTGAGACTACAGAAGACCAAACTTTGAATCATCACTCAGCCATTGAAATCCATTGGATGATCTGTGGCAAATCGCACTGCTTCTTCTTAAGAGGAAGACAGTGACAAACTTCATGTCAATAAATCTTGCAAAAACAAAAAATTATGGCAGGACAATCATATGTCAAAGATGACTTTAAGACATATAACAACAAATGAGGAGCAGGATATGTGTCATTATGAGACAGGAAACTAGCTATAGAATGACCAGACAAAGCAGTGTCGTGGGGCCCTTCTGCACAGTCATATAACCCAGAATATCAAGGCAGAAAATCCCACAATATCAGCTTTGAACTGGGTTATCTGAGTTCACACTGCCATATATTCCAGTTCAAAGCAGAAAATGTGGGATTTTATTCAGCTGTGTGGAAGGGCCCATGGTTTTTTCCTTGATAATATGAGTACCTTGTACATATCGCTTGATTTTTTTAAAAATGGATGTGAGTAGAAAAGATGTCCAACGGTGGGTTGTTGTAGGTTTTTCGGGCTATATGGCCATGTTCTAGAAGCATTCTCTCCTGATGTTTTGCCTACATCTATAGCAGTGGTTCCCAACCTTCCTAATGCTGTGACCCCTTAATACAGTTCCTCATGTTGTGGTGACCCCCAGCTGTAAAATTATTTTTGTTGCTACTTCATAACTGTAATTTTGCTACTGTTGTGGATCATACTGTAAATATTTGATATGCAGGATGCATTTTCATTCACTGGACCAAATTGGCACAAATACCCAATACGCCCAAATTTGAATACTGGTGGGATTGTGGGGAGGGGGTTGATTTTGTCATTTGGGAGCAGTAGTTGCTGGGATTTATAGTTCATCTACAATCAAAGAGCATTCTGAACTCCACCAATGATGGAATTGAACCAAACTTCCCACACAGGACCCCCATGGCCAACAGAAAATACAGGATGGGTTTGGTGGGCATTGACCTTGAGTTTTGAAGTTGTAGTTCACCTACATCCAGAGAGCACTGTGGACTCAAACAATGATGGATCTAGACCAAACGTGGCACGAATACTCAATATGCCCAAATATGAACACTGGTGAAGTTTGGGGAAAATAGACCTTGACATTTGGATGTTGCAGTTGCTCAGATTTATAGTTCACCTGCAATCAAAGAGCATTCTGAACCCCACCAACATTAGAATTGGGCCAAACTTCCCACACCCTATGACCAACAGAAAATCCTGTGTTTTCTGATGGTCTTTGGCGACCCCTCTGACACCCCTCTCATGACCCCCCCAGGGGTCTCGACCCCCAGGTTGAGAAACATTGATCTATGGCAAGCATCCTCAGAGGTTGTGAGGACCTCACAACATCTGAAGATGCTTGCCATAGATGTTGGTGAAACATCAGGAGAGAATGCTTCTACAACATGGCCATATAGCCCGTAAAACCTACCACAACCCAGTGATTCCAGCCATGTAAGGAAGAGGCTATATCTAAGCATGATACTTTATTTGTTGGGTATCTTGTATTGTCGAAGGCTTTCCAGCCATGAAAGCCTTCGACAATACAAGATACCCAACAAATAAAGTATCATGCTTAGATATAGCCTCTTCCTTACACAGTATGTTGGAAATTATATTGATCATTTTGTTGAGCTGATAAAGCTTGCAATGTTGCAAAGCAGACATCTCAATGATTTGAAGTACTGCTCTTGTGCGGCTGCATAGATGCCCTTGAAAGTATAAAGGCAATGATTGGTGAAATTTGACATTGGGGATAGATGAAAAAGAGATCAGAAAGAGCCAATGCCCTGCCTATTAATTCACTCATTTTTTCCTGTATATGGGTAAATAATAAAGGTTCTGTGCACAATCAAATCGATGCATAATAAACTTATTTTTAAGTGCAATGACTGTATTTATCTTGGTTACTTTGAATGCCCTTCTCATTATAGGTCT